GCCTTTCATTCCAAGCGTGCTCCATCTTCTTTCCCATCATAACATCATAATCATCACCCATCCATTACAACATTTAATGCTAAAAAAGCTAGAAACTGAGAGCTCAATAAAAAATATATACTTTTTCAAATAGATCATAGTGGGAACAGATATATTCAAAACCTAACTCAGCAAAACTATCCCTTAATATTCTTGGGTATGTCAAAGAACAAATTCATTTTCCTACAATAGAAAATTTTAATGAAACGGAATGAAATAAAATGAAGAACTTAGCTAGAGACAGTCTTATATATATATTTGAATATACGCTATATTTGAAAAATTTGATATTTGAAAATACGCTTATATATATTTGAAAATATATTTGAATATATTTGAAAATACGCTTATAGCACCAGGGAAGTCTCTCCACACCGAGCCGAAAAGGGGCCTCCAATTAAAAATTGCATTTTTGTTGGTAGCAAGAAGATCACTGGGAAACAAGTGAAGGGGAAAACACTTCCAGCATCTATTATTATTGCGGTGTATACTCAATTTAGTTTTCCCTGAGTTTTCAAGCTGCTGCTCATGCTACCAACATAACTTTTGTTGCAAGCCCTCTCACCAGCAAGGTTCTACAGCAGAGAGACTTTCTGGATGAACTACACTATCAGCATAGCTTGCCATATCAATTATTACATTTTTTGCAAGTTTTCGGTTGTTGGTGCAACAAATAATGCTGTATTATAGAGATGTTTCTTCTTTAGTCTGTGATAAGGAACTTGGATTTAAATCTTTCTCTTCTCATTTCTCAGAATGAATTTGATGTGGTATAGGACAATCTTGAGTCAAATCCTTTAACCCATTATCACCTGGCGTCCTCATTTGAGGACGCACTTTTCTGAACAACTTCAAATTTGCTTATTTTGCAATAAGCACTAAAAGTTGCAAAAACATGCAACCAGAGAGATAAAACAATGACTTTGCATGAACAGACGTGACACAAATGGGCGAGTGCTATGGGCACAGAATTAATTGGGGCATTAATGGGTTCAATGATCTGTTTGTCCACCCTGATGCAAACATAAAAAAACAATAAAATACATAATTAAAAAAAAAGAAAAAAAAATCATTTTAAGTAATAAATTAATAACCAAAAGAAAACAGGAAGATAATTTAATCAACTGCTCAGAAACTATGAGATGCTTTCAAATAATAAGGACTCCAAGTAGACGGGAAGATTCTGTTGAGCAGTATATTTCCACTACATAGTAAAATATTGGCACACATATTTTTAGTGAAAGCTCAACTAAAAAAAGATATAAAGAAACTATAGAATTAGTGATAGTGAATCAGCACAAGCAACATTTGAAGGCTGTATTCATCTGGTTTCCATGCCATGAACTCTGGAATACATCCAGTGGTGATTTAATACATGAGTGAACCCAGCAGCCACCTAGGGCCTCAAAATATTGAAAACAACAAGCATGCCCTTCAAGAATTATTTCAAGTTTTTTTTTACAAAAGATGCGTTGCACTGCAGGTCATAGTGGTGCACGAGTGTGCAAAAAGGTTTGGTCTCAGTTTCTCTTCAGGTTCTTAATTATAATACCTTAGTGTGCCTAAAAATGCAAGGCGTTGCAAAATGTTGTGGTCAGGCTTATCTTGAGACACCATTAAAGACAAGAGAAAATAATATAATTTTGACACCACTGCCTCTGTAACCCTAGGTGAAATCTTTTTGATTTTTGTTTTAAATGAAAAACAATAGCATGTTCTTTAAAAAATGTCAGTACACAGTTTTTGATATTCTGTACCATTTTTGAGTTAGAGTGCAATTTTTGAACATCTGAGGAAAAAAGTTGCTCTAGAGGTTTGAAAACAGTCTTTTCTAACAAATTTTGGAAAAATGCACTCTCGCACATTTTGATTACATTTTGTATGCCACAATTCACAAATCTGAAAGGAACATCTTTGGAGTTGTAGCTTGATAGGCGAAATAATTTTTGGCAAACAGCGTACTGACCCCTTGCAATGTCATTGTACAGTATGACCATTAGATTTTTGCAACTTTGGGAAACAATCTTCATGATTCATCAATTTGCACGTATTGCCCGAGAAGACCAGAAAACAATTGAAACTGGAAGAAATATTTCTTCAGAAGGTATCCAAAATACTAGGAAATATATTTGAATTTTTTGCATTGAAATAGATTCCAACGCTAGAACAAATGGTTCAATATTATCACTTTATCCTTGCTTTTGTTTGAAAAACCAAAAGCAATTAATCATAAAATTATAAAACTATAACAATTAACACAACTAGCAATGTTATGAGTGTTATTACTGAAGAAGCCAAAAGTTTAAATCAAGGCAAAGTGTAGCGGAGCTGAGATTTTTAATTTGGATGTGGCTGTAATAACACTATAACTCATTATGGTATTTTCAGCATTTTATCGGTTATCATAAAATCTCATGATTTATGCAAAAATTTGACATTTTTGCGATAGTAAACAAATGAATTCTGTGGCTGCAGCACATCACTATGTTATTGTGGGGTGTTGCTTACAAAATATCTATTTAAACAATATTCTTTTATCCTAGTTTGAGAAAAGATGGATGCAAATAATTCTCCTGAACCTAAAGAATGACGTTCAGAGAGGAAGTTGGCAAGTCGACACCTTCAGATCGTTAGTAAATATGATTGCTAGAGAAGAGTTTCATTTGGTGGAATGCCAGGAAAATGAGGTTAATTTACCTAATATATATTTTTTATTTGTACTATTAATATAACAAGATTTATCCCAAAAACTAATATGAGTTACTTTTATCCTGAATTGTTTGAACCTGCGTTGGTTTGCATATCACCATGTTTTTTCGTTAATACACATTTCACTTGAATCGATGGTTGTTTATTTACTTTAAATGTGTGTAAACTTACGTTAAATTAAAAATGTGTTCAATTTCTTAACATACAGGTAGGTACAAGAGCACTTAACAGAACTGTAGTGTTGCATGTTAACAGGGGTTAAAGACACATACGAACGATAAAGGTATGCTTTCATACTTCTGCATTGTTATCCCAAAGATTCTGCTTTATATTTATTATTAAAATATTATATTTATTAATAATGTTAACCCCATGACACATTGAGACAGTCGTGCCAAACCTCTTCTCAACAAAATACTTGTTCTAGAACTGAAATGTTCCAAATCTGTAGGTTTTAAAAGAAAATTCCACTTTGCCCCACCTTCCCCTATATTGGGGTATTAAACAAACTCTGTTCTTCACAATGAAAGATATATTCACATCAGAAATTCAACAAAACATTACACCTGCAGTGCAGTGAATAAAATTTGCATTCAATCTCGAAATCCACAGACCAAATGTATATGCTGTGATATATTAGAAAAAGGTTCAAATATGTCATAGAAATGCAAATAAATCACAGTTACTGGTTAAAATTATATTCAACAGTTATAGTCAGACCAAGAAAGAGATGTAGTCATTTGGCTACAAAGGGTCTGAAAATGTTAACAAACTAGACATGGATGTGAATTTTCAATCATAAAATGATAGGGAGCACTGTGCATTGATGTGCAAGCAGGGATTCGCCACTTGGCAAAATTATCTTCACAAGAATTGCTCTTGTCAGGCAAGGAATTTACTTGCCAAAATTATCAAAACAACAGAATTTTTTTCAGGGGAAAATATTTTGAATAGTAACAAAATTTTCAATTTTTTTATGTAAGTTGTTTGGGGGTAAATTTACCAGAAAAAATTGTAAGACTTTCACACTTGTAAGCATCTCATACAATACAATTAATAAATAACAGGCAACATCAAATGAAATTAAAACACTGGAAAATAAGTATTGAAGCAGGTGGATAAATGAGCAATAGGTGCCAATTCATAAAGAATGTTTGAAATTAAATAATATTCAACAGAAAATTGTACATCATACTTCTCAAATGACTAAGAAGAATGCTTTTCAATGCTCTTGTGATAGATTTGTCACATCCCAGATTTAAATACAGCATTCAGTACGATCCCTTAATAAGAAACACCAGTGGACAAAGACTTATGACTCTTTTAGAAAGAACTTTCCTGAGAGAAAGGCTAATGCACGATCATTATAGCTTCGCTAAAGGTTATCGCACATTCTTACAGTTTATGTTTTAATATATTAATGTTCCAGAAAAATATTTACCAAAGAGTAAAATTTCGGAAAATGGATTCAACAACATAGACAGAACCACAAACACTAAATGCACATGAAAGAACATTGGCATAATTGTAGCAACAATTTTACCCAATGCCAATCCTTTTCTGAGCTATACCAAATGGAATTTTCAAACATTATCTGCATATTAATGAGTCAAATAGAGCACTTTTTACCAAATGATCAACACAAATATTACTTTGATGATTGAAAGTACAATTTAAAGTGAAGACGAGCTTTGGGTGTAGTCAAATTCTGTACAACTCACACTGTTCCCACTCACTTGAACACAATCTGGCCATGAAACTGAATGAGCTCTAAACAGAAACAATTCACCATAGCATTTTCCACAAACAATGCACAGAATAAGTGGAAGAAGATTTTCAGCTTTCTCAGACGCATTGGGATGTGAAGGGTCTTCCCACAGATATGAATCGCTTCCAACGCAACCACAGCCAAAGGTACTATAGAGTAAATCCAATAAGTCACCTCACTAGCAATGTGTGAAAAGAAGTCAACTGACACTTGCAAGAGAGAAAAACCCATCTGGAATCAAATTTCTGTCAACTATAGGCAAGAAACTCTTCTCCAATGGGGTCTTATACATGGAATCAAAGAGCCCACATTTTATATATTACTACACAGCTTATTTCATCTCTTTAAGAAAGATTCTCAAACAAGCAGCATTCTAGTGCACTTATTACATCAACTCCTTTATTCGTGTTCCTACTAAATGAAAAAAAAAAAATATTTTTTAAATAATTGCCATTCTAGATAATACTTACGTCTTAAATTTAACTGGACTGTGCAAGTATTGAAACACAATCAAAAACTGCAAAAGCACATAACGGCGGAAATTGGAATCTGATAACTGCAGTTCCAACAGCTTCTGATTGGTCAGAAACTTGGCGAAGTAATGTGGGCGGGACGCTGTTCCACCAGAGCTGGTAGATGAAGCAGGAGGTGGAGCAAGTTGCTTGCCCTGCACATCTTCCAATTTGAAAGAGCTGAATGCCAGAAGAACATTTACAGCATGCTGGAAAAAGCATTAAAAGAAGAAAAAGTTACACAGAACAAGTAATATTTTAATAGCAAAGAACTCATTAATAATAAACATTTGAGAAAGCTGATACCTGTGAAAAGAAATTATGGCTACTATCTTACAACTGAGTGCAAATCTTAATTCCATAAAGGATTTGATAGAGAAGTGTCACTGACTGATCATTTGCTAAATGTTTTTTCAACATTTTTGAGTAATGTGCAATATTTATAATAAAAAAAGGAAAGACTAAATATTCATTTAAATATCTTATATCAATATACATTCTGTGCATATACATAGTTTATTCTGTACGAGTATAATTCTTGCTATTATAATAAAACTCACAATTACATGATTGTGCGTAACTATTATTCAAAAACTAAACTAATTTTTATTGTTAATAGTTACCTATCATTCTTATCATTGAAACATGCACAGTATTAAAGGAATAAGCACGTGAAAGGATAATTCTATATTTTCATTAGTTCAAATATAATTTTTTCCGACATGATGGTAAGTCATTTTCACTGAGAAATACATTAAAGAATTTTACCCTCTAACAATTTGACAATAATATTAAAAGCTTAATGAAGTTTTCTATAAATTTGTGGTGGCTCTACATAAAAGACCATGCCTTGTATTTGCATATGCTTAATATTAATCCTTAATTTCTAATACCTTACAATTGTCAGATATAAAGCATCAAGATAACTTCTTTCAAGTTATACTCACATTTGAACAATAATTATTAAGCAATATAATAATTATTTGTCACAAATTGTATGAAAATTGAAAAAAAGATTATAAAATCAATGTTTTTAAATGGAATTCTCTACATATACCAACTTTATAATTCAAAATTTCAAAAGAAAAATTGCAATGAGCTACCTTTTTTTTTTAAATGCATTTTTTATAGCTTCTACATCACAATCTGTAGACTTTTCAATAAACAGTTATTACCGAATGCATCAATTTTCAAAAGTAATGAAAGGGTACAAAAGAACAATTATTATCAGCAAATGTATAATCAAGAACATTATGCATTAGAACTTGCATCAATTTTGAATCACACGGTTTAATTGATTAATTCTAATTGGTACACACTATGTTCTACATACAACATCTGCATACACTTTTACTACACAACTTTCCTTCTCTCTACCATCATCTCACTAAATTGAGTAACTTTTCCTGAGAATCAAGTGTGCCATTTAAAAGGGCTTTCACTAAATATTTTTACATTGAAACATCAACTACCAAAGTTATTGTAGAACTAAACACTTACTGTGGAAAATGTTTTCCAGTTCACTTTGTTATAGCACTGATTAGGATTACGAAAGAAATCCTGCAAAGCCCAGAATTTACAATAAAGATTGTAATCGATCTTGAATCTGCAAATGTGTAAGCAAATATATAAATGTAGATATTCAAAACAACTTTATTGAAAATGATACTGAGCATTAATCTGTATTTACTTTGTATCTGGTTGGACATCTTCTTCAACTGCATCAGTTTCTGCATCTGTTATGATATCTTTTAAAGGAGATCCAGTGTCATTGCCGAACTCAGTTAAATTGTCCAAGTTGAATTCACTTACAATATTAAGGCCTACAAAAGACAACTTGTCACAATAGTTTGTCCTTTGAGACAGCATACATTAAACAGTTAACAATCTTCTTGCATGAATTAAAAATTTTGTATCAATAAAACAAATTGTAGTATTACATACCTGAACGTTCAGAGAAAGGAAAAAACTTTGCTAAAAATAATAAAATTCTTCCACAAAACACAGTATTTTGGGAACGAGATAATCTTCTTAGCAAATCTATAAAACAGAAAGCTATTAGTAATGTTGAACTACAATACACAAACACCAACATTCTTGTCAAATAAACTCACCATTACACATTCGCAGTAAATTGTTCTTGCAGGCACTGAAAAATAGATCTTCCTTCCAAACATTGACCCCTTTTTCAACAAATTCGAACAATTTTTCACACTTATCCAATGTTAATGCATCAAAAACATCACCTAAAAGTACTACTGGCATTGTTGGAGTACACATATCCTTCCGGCATGCCAGGATACAGAAGTTAACAAACGATTCCCAATTTTGAACATCCTCTGATCCTTGTGCCAGAAGTTGCAATAAACAATCTCTTGTCACTTGATCCAAAACTGTACGTTTATCAGTATCACTAAAGAACAAAAATGATCATATAAAATAATATGACTGATATAATTTTTATCAATCCATACACTAAGTTTTAATTTTACACATATACATACCCTGCTTTAATTATGTCGTATCGCTTCTGCAAAATATCAATGTTCTTGCTTTCATATGCATGTTTGACAGCATCCTGAAACATTCAAAATAATTTTTATTTTCTATTTTCCTGATTCCGGATAGTGAAATATGCACATAACCTCAACTATACTAACAGAAAATTCTGATCTAATGGTTTCGTAAGGACACATTTTGTATTTCATCAAGCTTCAAGGAAATGATGGTTCGAAATATTCTTTCAGCGTATACTGTAGGCAAATGCCTTAGAGATTCTCAACAAACACGTTGAAATACCAATCTTAAAGTTTATATCATTTTACAGCACGGTGTATTTCATACTAGCCACAACATAACCAAACAAGCAAATACGGAAGTGTTAGTTATACCCGCCTCCACAAGTTGCGCTAAAATCGCAATTCAACCAGTGGTGCCAACAAACACATATCCGTCTGGCGGAAGATTCGAATTTGGAAATTCCATCAGCCACAAAAAGAAAAATAGATAAAAAAATTGAAATCGTCGTTTATTCAAAATTTTGTTAAATTTTAAAAAGGAGGGGGAGTTTCTGTTACTGTTATTTCTTGAAGGTTTGGTAACGTTGCAACCGCTGCAGAAAATGCTAATGCAGAAGGGGTGGACGCGCTCGCCCCGCAGCCCAGGAGGGGTGCACCGCGGGGGCCGTAAGCGAATCAAGGGACTGCCAACGCAGGGGGGATCGATGGCCGGGGTTCGCAGCGCGTCAGCGCTGGGGCTCTCCTGCGAGGGGCCGCGGTTGCTTGGCGACGCGGTGCGCGGGTGGGCCGAGCCCGTGAGACGCGCGCAGGGCGGCCGGTCCGGGCGGTGCAGCGTCCACGCACCTGCAGCCCGGCCAGGCCGACGCGGCGGTCGATGCGCGCGCGCGCGGCGCGCGCCGCGGCCGCGGCGACCCGGGGCCGGCGGCCGGGCCGTTGCGCGTCAGCCCACGCGGGCGGCGCGGCGCGGAGCGCGCGCGAGGAGAGACCGCGCGGGCGGCGCGCGGCAGGGCGGGTGCGGACGCACGGGCGCAGGCGGCGCGCGCGACAGCTTTATGAGCGCGCAGGTCGCGATCTGCATCTCGTTCGCCGCCGCTGTTTGGGTCGAGGTTAAACATAGCGAGGAGCGCAAGGTGCCCCCGGGCGGCCTCCCGCGAGCGCATTAGCTGCGACAACAAACAGCCAGGCGCTGCCTGTCGCCCGCAGCACGTGCGCGCGCGAGAGCGCAGCGGGCGCGGCGCGGCGGCCGAAGGGGGGCGGCGGAGCGGTGCGTGCCAGCCAGGCGCGCGAAATTCCCACGTATTGATCGGGCGGGCGTCAAGGGCGCGCGCGGGGCGCGGACGTCGGCGGCGGAGGAGGCGGCGGTGGCACCAGGGCGACGACGGCGACGCCGCGTCGCCCGCCGCTGCGCTCTCTTATCAGGGCTCGCGATAGCGCGCCGTCGGAAACGTCCGTCAGCGCGAGAGGCCCGCAGGAGGAGCCGGTCGCTTGCCTAGGCCTGTGCGCGGCAGCGCGAGGTCGCGCTCTCGCCCGCGCCCGTCGCCGCTCGCCCGGGGCGCCCCCCGGCCCCCCGCCCCCCGCGCTCCCCCACGCAAGCGCCCCTCGCCGCGGCAACCGCGGCAGCGGCTGCGCGCGGCGGCGTCGGCTCAGGCTGGGCGCGGCGCGGTGGCGGCAGCAGTCAGCGGCGCGCGCCGACGGGGACGCACGCGCCGAGCAGCGACGGCTCAGCGATGAGTGCGCGCGCGGCGAGCGAGGAGGGGTGTGGCAGGTGCGCGACGCCTGCCCCCCCCGCTCACGTCGGAGGCGACACCGCCACGTCGCGCGCGAGACGGCCGTCGCCATAGCGACGAGAGCGGCCTATGGATTTTCTGTCCACCGCGCGCGCGGGGGTGGGCGACAGGGGCTGCTCCGCGGCGGCGGCGAGGGGCGCGGGCGTAACGCTGTCAGTCTTCATCGCAGGGCGCTAAGGGCCCGCGCGCAGGACGGTGGCGGCGTCCGCGCGCGCGTGAGGAATGCTGCGCGCGGCGCGTGCGCGGGCTGTTTAAGGGCCATCAAAGCGTCAGCGCTCGTTGCGGCGGCGGCGCGCCCATGGCGGCGCACAGGAAGACGCACTTAGCGCCCTCGCCGGCTGTGACGGCGCGGCGGCCGGCGGTCGGCGCAGGACGCTCATCGGAGCGCTTGTCGCAGGAGGCGCGGGTGGCCCGGCGTAGCCCATGAGCGCGCCCGGCCGGCTAGAGGGCAGGCGCGCCCCGGCGCCCACGGCGCGCGGCCTTCCTGGCGTGGTGGCGCTGCTGGCGGCGCGACGCTCGGTGTGCGGCGGCGGCCCCAGACGCCGCCCGGCGCGGCGACAGGCCTGTTCGCGGGCGAGGCGCACGACGAGGCGGCGGCGCGGGGTGGGCCCGCTGCCCGCGCCCCCGCTCGTCTTCGAAGCCCGACCTGCCCGGGCCCGCTGCGAGGAGATCCGCATCTCCATGTGCGGCATCGGTACACATGACGTCCAGCCCCAACACTGAACCAGAGACGCAGGAGGGAGCGCGCCTGGAGGTAAGTGGCTTGACCCGTCTTCCGTCGCCACCGGGTCCGCAGGCAGCGGCCGTCTCCCGCCTCCCCCCCCATTCCCTCCCCCGCCCGCCGCCGCGCGTGACGCGGGGGCGCATGACGCGCGCACCCTTTATCGCGGCGCCTCTCGGGGCGCCGCGCCCGCCCCGCCCCGCCCCCGCCCGGGCCCCTCGACCCCGCATCCCCGGACGCGAATCGGCGGGGGGCGGCCGCGGGCGCCTCGCGATCGACCCACGGAGCGCGGTGCTCCCGCCCGCCCTCCACATGGGCGTGCGCCCCACTGCTCCTGCGACGCGTCCGCCCGCCCGGCCCTGCGTGCGTGCGTGTGTGTACGCGTGGTGCGGCTGAGCGAGCGAAAGACGAAGAGAGATGGGGCGTGGTGGGGATGAAACGAGCTCTAACATATCCCATATTCACCTGGTAGTGCTCTGGTTTACCTTCGGGTGTCAACCCACGACTCGTAAATCAGGGCTGCTCGTTTAGGGCGTCTTCAAAAGGCCACAAATGTATCTTTACCTCGGCCCGAGTTGCGCTTCGCCAGAAACACTACTTTTCCGGGTACCGCTGCTCTGCGGTCTGCGGGAGGAGTGGGGGGGGAGGGGGAGGGTCGCAACGGGTGAGCGGGCACCTCGTTGCTGCGAACTTATTTATTCTCGCCCAGATTCATTCAGAGAATGCCTGTTGTCAAACGTTGTTCCTCCCCAAGAAAGCGATAAGCTGAAGAGATAAATCTCATAGATGTTGTCAAGACGTTATCAAAGTCCACAAAAGCTGATACCCCGTGTTTATTTTTCAGCGCCACGGAAAACGGTAGCTCGACAGATTCTGACTGCAAACTGAACATGCGTGTTCCAGTTACAATGTACAATGTCGTGAACGTGCCGCCTTTGGTGTTAAGGCGTTGGCTGTCAAGTCCCTTATCCGTCTCGATTTTCGCTTCATAACAGTGTCGTTCAGGAAGATCGCACCTTCTCTATAAACGCTGCATTCGACCGAGTGTGAGATGTCATATCGTCACGGAATAAAGGACAACATGTGCACGTATTGGAAAGGATATGTTTTCCGAAGGAGAGAAAATACAAAAGCACTGTTCATTGTGCATCAGTATTCATTTTTTTCTTTTTGATTTATATGTAACAATGATTTTACGGATTATTTCTAGACAGCTACTTGAAACATTAAGTTTGAACGAAATTTTTATTGACATAATAATTGGGTATTCACATGTTACTTTTGTCTATGACATGAATCAGAGAACGAAACATATATTCCTTTCCTCATTCTGCTCTAAGTACACATTCCGAAGTCCTCATGCTCAAATTTCTTTGAGCCCTTTAGGTGGCTGTCAGAAGGCAAAAAAACTGAAATGTTACAGATAGCTCACAGAAGTTTGATGAATGGGTTTAAAACAAGGGTGAAATCCATAAATGCGTACTCACTTCATATATTACGTTAGCTTACAGAAAGTATCCCAAGATTTACGTCTCGAAAAGTGTACATGGAGTCCTGTTTATATGAAACTCTTGACATCGGAGATACAAATTTCTTCGAAAGATTTATTTCCTAAGAAATTCTTTCCTGAGAAAAAGATGTTAGAATGAATGCTAAACATTAGTAAGCATCCATTAGATCTAAATTTTCAAATAAATTACAACATTAAAAAAAGGGTTACATCAAGAATCTTTCAACAATACGAGATGTAATTCGTATTAAGATGATCAATATAATCATATTATTACTCTCGAAATGACATAATGACATAGACGTTCGGCCTGCATATGTGCATGTTGAATCTCATACAGGATACAGAATTCTTTCTCCCCTTTTGAGAACATCTATCTTTCTGAACGAACCCATGCATCGCTTCGCAGCAAATCTGTCTTCCTTGCTCGTCTGCAGAGTTTGTTCTGACAAAATAAACTGTTTAGCGAGCGTTAGAGGGAGTCGTCCCTTTTTAGCAGGAGATAAAAGCTAAACGGCTTGTTTACTTGTCAGTGGGGAGGTGATCAGGGACAATGTTACACGACGTTGGGACTGTAAAAGGTCTCAGTGCGCTCTTTATTCTGCAGCCTTCATCTTACATTCTTTCTTCACGGTTAAGACGACAATGGCAATTTTCTTCTCGAAAATCTGCATCTTACGTATTCGAATGTTCGGGAAGATTGCTATTTTCTGCACATGTCCTTTCAGCAACACTAATGTTTTTATTAGTTATTAAAGTTTGAGAGGAATTTTAGACATAAAGAAGGAATCTAGCACATATTTCTAGTGATTTGTTACCACAGAGGTGTGTCCCTGAAAATATGACTGTTCCAGAGTCGTAGATCTTTCGATGTGCAAGGAATAAAGCGAATCTTTGAAACGTTCGTAAACTTCTAGAAGCAATGTAAGCTTACAAAAAGTACATTTAGAACATTAAGACTTTGTTTTACACTTCTTGAAATTTTCGGGTTAAGAAATGCTATAGATTTTATTATTATTGTTCCTTAAACTTTGAGCAGGGTTCCAGGAAGTCCGTCCGTACTTCAAGCCTTCTCCATTTCTGTGAATATTTTTGCAGAGAATACTTCAGTTCTTCTTGTTATAGTATATCTGATACTGGGAATACTCCTATACATTATTAGATAACGTTCTTTTCTGGATAGCAATACAAATCGGATAATTTCTCAAGGAACAAATGTGTTAAAACAGAGGTAGCCGTGAGTATTATGTACATTTACATTGTATTTTTACTATGTACATTTAGGTGGGTTGGATATCGATTATGCTCTCATTTGGTGATCAATTTTCAATATCAAATTTCAACATCAATTTTCGAATAATAAAATTTCTTGATCATTAATTTAGAAATTTGTATGCAAAAGAAAAATTGAATATTTAAAAGATTTTCAAAATATTTTGAAATTGGAAAAGAACGATTTGAGAATACCTGAGGATTTTTAATCGTTACGATAATACCCATTTTTAATGATACTTTCGAGGTTCCCCTTTGATGAATGTATGTTACATGAAAAACCTTTTTCCATGAGGACAGTCTTCATATTAGACATATTAGACCATTATATTAAATGATCAGATTAGTATCTTAAAGGGCCCTAACCATGGCCAATTTGTATCTCTTAAATAATCGTGAAATATTAAACATATGTAATTAAAATTAATAAGCAAATAAACCATGATTTTCGGAATTTAAACAATTAATATTAAAATATTTTACATTGAGCTCACACTATCCTCATACGCGAACTACTGCAAGTAGAAAAATCCACACGAACTAACGCGAACTAAAAAAAACTGTTTCCATAATGATTAGGAGCCCATACGCAACGGGGACTCTAAGGTTGTGACATTTATTGACTCACCCCTACATTACATCACAATAGAGCATAACATTTTATAACGAAAGTAGAAAAATATAAATCTACGAATGTTTCTGTAATTACCTGCGACTTAAAGTATGTCAGTAAAGCTAGTGAAAGAAATCTTTAAAAATAAATAAATAAAACAATTGTTAGTATAAAATTAAGATATTTGAAAATAAAAAATAACTCAAATAAAATTTTAAAAAACTCATCGATTAGAATAGTAAAATAATGGTATTTGAATGAAACCAGCCTGTCAAATCTAGAAAATATATGTAATCGCAGAATTCATTACACAGGACCCAGTACGACAAGAAGTTCTTCAAGGGACAATAAGACTCTGGCCGGAAAGTTCAAGAGTTCGAGTTTTAACGGTGACCGAATTTTCGACTCTAGCTACATAGCCGAATGCAGCCGTTCCATAGAGGAAAATTCTAGTGGTCGGCTATTCTAATCGGAAGTATTCCGTGATTTTTCCGATAAAAACCACGAGTATGACAAAGTAGGCCTACCCTAACAAACTGACCACTCCTTCCGTTTCATTGACCTCCTTAAACACACACACACACTTACATGTACGCACTACACTACCACACAAATTGAATGGCCAGTCGAGAGCTTGGAGCTTGACCCGGCTGGGGTGATGCCCCGCTGGGGGAGATACCTGGAAGGGGATATCTCCCGCTAGCAGACGTATAGATCGCCGCCGAATCTCCCCATCCAGCGGCGAAGGAATCGTCGCCATCTCCGGGGATAAAATGTTCTCTATACTAGCCGGACTAATTATTGTAGTTTATGTAACTGGAAACATCGGTTAACCAATCGAGAATTAATGAATCCATAGACTGTGTGATCCGAACATTTTGTGATCAATCGATGGCAATAATTTCTGAAATTAGATTCTCACAAAATATTTTATTCTTAATTAATGTACTCAGAAATTACTCAAAAATATAATTAAAAGATTTTCTATATTTATTACAACATTCAATCACACGCATTTTCCATCGGACTGAACATGTGTAATGTGAATTGTTAGTGTATCTTGTGTCAAATGAGTCGTGTCATTTCTCTTCGGTGAAAAAACAGCCACCAGTCTGGCAATCGTAGTCCGGTGAGGTACAATTTAGGATATTTCCGGGTTTCACAATTTCACGGCGTTTCCGTCTAGAATGACCACGCGACGAAACTCCAATGTTGGCACAATGTCACAATTTTCTTGTAGAATTTCTTAACGAGTGTCATTTTCCTGGTTCTTGTCTCTAGCCCTTGACATCTGCCCCGCCGTTAGTCTTCCTTTACTGGAGTACTAGTTTAGTCATAAATAATAAATACAATGTTTCTTCTCGGTGGAAAGATGTTCTACGTATGAAAAAGGCAGATTGGAGACATTTTGTATGACAAAGCTATACGTGTCAACATGATGCACTGCGATATCTCGATAACATTAATTTCTCAGTTCTTATCAGCTGGTACGAATAGGCTAGCAGGAGCAAAGATAATGGAGAGACGATGCGAACAAGTTAATGTTATCGTAACAATAAGCACATCGACAAAGTATACACCACTGATGACTGAAGCGTGTAGGACTG